GTTTGTGCGTGCGTGCGTATGTGTGTGTGTGTACGTTGTAAGTGTGTGTGTGCGTGTGTGTGTATTTTGTACGCATGTGTTTGTGTTGTGAGTGTGTATGCGTTTACATTGTTCATTACAAGGCGAAAAAGGACATGTCTATTCAGTAATAGACCTATTGTAGAAACCTCCACCTGGACTAGTGAATTGTTTTCTGCTTTGTTAGTACAGTATGTAATGTTGGAAATGTGGGCCCTTTTGTTGAGTTGGTTTTGTTTTGACTTGTTTTTGTTTTTTTATTGTTGCTGTTGCTTTGTTGTTGTTGTTGTTGTTGTTGTTGTTGTTGCTGTTGCTTTGTTGTTGTTATTGTTGTTGTTTCTGATTTCTTTTCTGATTTCTTTTTAGCGGTGGGCGCCACTGGTAATTTAGTCCTGCCACATAAACTTTACTATGCCTTTGTCATTGCTGTCTATCTATGACTGGATCTTTGTCTTTTTTGTGTGTGTTAAATTCTGGCACTGTATGACAGTCACAACGTTTATACGCCTCATGTACTTAACTTTTTTTAAAGAGAAAAAAAACAACAACAACAAAAACCAGCAACTGAGCAGATTGTAAATTGGCCCCTTTTCATTCTCGGCGTTGGATCGACCGATTAAAAAAAACCCACAACTCAACAAACAAACCAACAACAAAAAATATTACATAGATATCTATTCTATTTCATATTATTTTTATTGATGCTTGAATATCATTATCTCGCTCATACTTACACTTACAAGTACTGGAGGCCTTGCAATATTCTTTAAACAATGGTCCTGTGACAACATGACATACATGTACTATGTTGTTTAGTTTTTATAGCTATGTACGAGTAGATCATGCACGTTTTCTTCTTCAAGTTCCCGACCACCGGCGTCCGTGGTGGAGCGGTTGGGTTGTGCTTTGCTGTCGCATGCAGGAGACCCGAATGCATAGTGAGGAGAAATTTTTGTTGAGTATCTCGGTCTTTCTGTTGGGATGTTGTTTCCCTGTCATCATGGAATGACCCAGACAGGCAGGGTCGGAAATTATCAAAACTGTCGATGGAGGCCACAGAGATGGAGGCATACAAATTTAATAAACACAGTCTCTCCCAAGTGGACGCGTGTTAAGGGACATAATCGCAGTAATAACTCTTCTTCGTTAGAAAGACATCCTGGTTATTTCCCTTTAATTTAAACCTCAACACACAGTCGGTAGTGGCAGATTCTTTTATGATGGTTACAATGAGAACGAGTAATGCAGACAAATGAAGACTACAAGGGAAAAACGAATATATATATATAGTCACAAACTGAAAAATAATATGAAGTTATGAACCCACGAGCTTTAAAAATTGGCACCCTCACAATTTCCAGTTCGTGACTGGAGTCGTTTTCCCCTGTGCTCTTCAAGTTCTTTCTCTGGCAAATTGAATTCTGCTTTTCAAACTCATCTGAGGTCAAATAGCTTTACAAGACAAAAACTTCAAATTGAAACTATGTAGTACTAAATGTACATGTGGCATCGGCGGCCCAGTGATTAGGCTCTCAGACTTGCAACCGTAAGGTCGTGGGTTCAAATCCCGTCAGAGACCCGACATTGTGTCCTTAGGAAAGGCACTTTACACAAATTTTCCTCACTCCACCCAGGTGAGAATGGGTACCCAGCTATAGACATGGAAAGATCTTGTCGGTTTGTTAGTGTTTGAGAGCTTAATCGGCTGCACTGTACGCTTCCCGGGAAGCCGAGAAAAAATCTGAGTGGTCTATGCTCTGCTGGGGTAATAATATAGTGTAAAGCACATATATAGAGCTTGCTGTTGAGCCGGGGTATGCGTTATAAAAATCTATTTACAATAAACTTAGTGGGTTTTGCGGTTGTTTCAATTTTTCTTTTCAGAAAAAAAAAGCTCAAGACAAAAAGGATAGCACATTTTACAATCAAGCAATTATAAAATGAGACATTTCTCTCTGTCTGAGACTGTAATGGCCGGATAATCTTCGGCCTACATCTGCACACAAAGCAGACTGTGTCATTAGGAGGCGGGCTGCCTCGACACTGCTTGTCACAACCAACAATAGAGTTATCTCCCTTTTAAACCTATAGTGTACATCTTTGCAACCAACACAAGCTTAGTGATATTCACTGATGTGTACAATCCCAAAAGGCAGGAGTGTCTTTTATTTTAACCCTATCTGTATGCCCTGGGGTCATTTTGTACCCCCGGGTAGTATTCTTCACATTTTAGAATACTTCTAGTATGAAGATCTCTTTGAAACTTTCAGTATTTCTCAAAAAATCATTTTAACAGGCGGATTAATGAGTAAATTTCCTGTTTGGAAAGTGGTGGCACAGAGTTCCCCACGTCGTATGGATACGATAGTAAAACGCGACATACCGATAGAATTTTTAGAATTTTAATGCAGGTGTTTTAGCCTACCCCCCCCCCCCCTCAACTCCATCAACACAGTTTATATCTTTTTTAAAAGAAGTGCTTCTTACCCTGCCCCTGCCTGTCAGGTGTCAGGGCCAACCGGAACTGAGAAGGATACAACAACTTAGCGGAAAGATCGACTTGCTCAATAACATTTCTTGACACTAAGGTTTCAAACTCTGGTCTCCTCTTCAACACCACAGATATGGGTGGCAAATTTGTAGCTTTTGGAACCCAGTGGAAGAAAATCTGTCTGTAACCAAAATCTATCATGCATATATAGCCTATATGTATCAAATTATACAGTTTACAAAAGAGGATTCGACCCACATTTTAAGTTTGATCATTGAAAAGCAAATTACTTGTTGTTATCAACTGATGTATGAGAAGCAAAGAGAAATGCCAAAGCCAAAAGAAAAGATTTCAAGCTGCGCATTTCCACAAGTAGATTTAAAGGCCCAAAACATGGCAAACAGAATTGGTACCAACGGCCAATCCTTATTTCTTCTACTTTGCATAGAAATATTCTCCTCTTCAGACGCGTTGGTCGCTTTTGCTGTGTCGATCAGAACAAACGGAGGTGGAGATGCAAGTGACAAGACCAGGGTTAGAGAGAAAGAGAAAGAGACATAGAGAGAGAGAGAGAGAGAGAGAGAGAGAGAGAGAGAGAGAGAGAGAGAGAGAGAGAGAGAGAGAGAGAGAGAGAGAGAGAGAGAGAGAGAGAGACAGACAGACAGACAGACAGACAGACAGACAGACAGACAGACAGACAGACAGACAGACAGACAGACAGACAGGCAGACAGACAGGCAGACAGACAGAGAGAAACATTGATTGAGAGAGAGAGAGAGACAGAGAGAGAGACAGAGAGAGAGAGACAGAGAGAGACAAAGAGAGAGAGAGAGAGAGAGAGAGAGAGAGAGAGAGAGAGAGAGAGAGAGAGAGAGAGAGAGAGAAAGATTGAGAGCGAGAGAGAGCAAACGATAGAGAGAGAGCGAGAGCCAGAGAGAGAGACAGAGAGAGAGAGAGCCAGAGAGAGAGAGAGAGAGAGAGAGAGAGAGAGAGCCAGAGAGAGAGAGAGAGAGAGAGAGAGCCAGAGAGAGAGAGAGAGAGAGAGAGAGAGAGAGAGAGAGAGAGAGACAGAGACAGAGACAGAGAGAAGAAGGGGAGGTGGGAAAGAAATGGCTACAGTCAGCAAAGTTAATTTCTCAACATTTATACAAATTTTTGCGAAAACGTTTTTTAAACAAGACAATTTAATCACAGAATCTGTTTTATTTTTATCATACAATAAAATGTATAACAATTATACATGACATGTGTATAAAACTTCCTGCATTTTCATCAAAAACGATTTTTTGCAAGTGATGGGCAAGTAATTCTATATTTTTCCATTAAAAATATTCCAAACAACCAACAAACCCCTCGGAGAAAGTCAGGGAAACTAACATAAAAATAAACCACCAGGCATGATAAAAAATGGTAACACTTTCCAAAATTATTAACATTTATTTTGTAAAGTAACGAATATTGATCCATTTCATGTTGTAAAAATAATATAGATTCTAGATCTAGTTGAATATCTTGTTAAATTGTAAAATCCAGATTTTATACAGGTATAACATTTGTGCTTTTTTCCACAGATGTATGTTTCACACACAATACACATCCCCCGACACACAAACACATAGAACACACACATATGTACATATACATCCAAACATATACACACACAATATTCATACTCACACAGAGGCACACATGATAAAAACATTGTGTCTACAATTCTATATTTCCAGAAAACATTCTATACATACCATAAAATAAAAAATTAAACTACCTGTGTTTTTCACCAATATCGAAGTGTACTGTGAACTGAAAAACTGTAGCGGGGAGAAATCAGGCACTCGTCAAAACAATGAAATCAAAGAAATACATGTATAATCAGCATTTTTATGGCCGTTGGGAAACTTTTTTTGAATTTTCTTTTACTTGGCTCAACATCTTTAATGTCCATTAAAAGAAAATAATTTATGGGTAGACTTTACTGAGAAACATTGATTAAAGGCACACCAACAAAATGTTAATTTGCTGTTTCCAAGAACTCTCAAGCTTCAGACAGAAGTCGCCAAACTTTGGCAGCCATTTACTCGCTAATTTTGCCTTTCCAATCAAGCTACCTCCCGCAATGGAGAAGCACAGGCTGCTTTCATATCTTTGAATAGGATTTGGAAGACCAGAAATATCTCACTTCGAACAACGTGTGAGACATGGAACCCATCTCAGACTTGCATAAAAAGAGGATCCAGGTTTTCTAGGACAAGTGCTTGGCGCTCATATGACCTTATGCAGTTGCGAGCGCCGTAAAACCTCTACTAAAACTAAACCAGGAAAAGTGTCTAAAAAAGTTACTGAGGATCAGATGGGTTTTTTTAGTAAGTGGTTTTTTTGGTGTAAAAGTTTTAAGGCGCTTGCAACACAATTAGGTCATATAAGTGCTAAAGACTAGAGGCGTTACAAGAGAGTAACAAACACAAAAAATAAGGAGGAAAGATAAGGAGGAGAGATAAGGACGATAGATATTTGATAGGAAAGAAGAAGCAAACCACACAAGAGCACCCGCCAACCACCCACAGGATCAGAAATCTGATGGACAGACAAGGTCACCGATGAGGAAGTGTTTTAAAGTAAAACAAGACAGATCCCAGTCAGAGATGAGGTAGGAAGAAGGCTGTGGCGATGGAATGGACATACTCTCAGGAAGCCAGGCAGATGCATTTAAAAAAGTGTTGGATTGGAATCTTGAGGGTAAAAGATCTTGAGGAGAAAACGCGTGGAACCGGGAGAAGAATCATAGAAATTGATGTACAGAAAAGTGAGAAGACGGAATAACATCACAAGATGCTAGCCCAGAATAGATAAAGGTGGAAAGTGTTTGCTCGTGGCCAGACCCTGGTGTAGGGTGAGAAAGGCAATGATGATGATGGTGAATCAAGTGACCCCCATTTCCTTCAATTGAGAATATCTTGACTTCTAATACTTTTATTCTAGATAGATGGGTACATATTTCGTCAAAAGCAAGACAAAAAAAACAAGTTTTAAGATGATACTATCAACTCCACATACTAAAAATAGACGAGTGCCTGATTCCATCACGTCGTGACATACATATATGCACACCAACAGGCGTCACATCATGTATATATAAATGTAGACATTCCTCTCTGCATCTAAAACAACTTCATAACTGAACGTAGGTTTCAAACTGAGGCTTAACGTTTAATAACCAAGGCAAGGTCTCACAACAAAGCAAAGCATGGCAGTTTCACAACTTTCTTTTTTGTGTGTAGGTGTTTCTATGCCCTCATCGGCACAAATTTAGATAATTTAGTATGCAAGCTTCTGACCCAGCCTGTCAGAGGGAACCCACATTTAGGGGGATACAACATTCTGGCAAAAAGGCTGAGATATTCAATAAAAACTTCTCTGCCCTTAAGAATTGAACCTGGGTTTCCGGAATGCAACAGCAAAGTGACTAACTGCTACACCACCAACACCAGCGGTTTCATAACTGAGGCAAACAGTTTTATAACCGAGGTAAAAAGTTTATAACTAAGGTATAAAGTTATATAACTGAGGCAAACAGTTTTATAACTGAGGTAAAAAGTTTTACAACTGAGGCTGGCAGTTGCTGTCCAGTTCTCGCGTCTGCTGTACCACCAAGACCTGGGGGGGCAGAGCCACACTGTGTCGGGTCATGGCCGGGTGGAGGGGTGCTTGCGGCGGCAGCGGGTGGGGGAAGGGCAGCCTCTGGTGCTGTGGCTGCACGCCGAGCTGCTGCTGGTGCTGGGGGAGCAGCGGGTGGTGGGCGTGGTGCGGGGGCAGAAGCTCCTGCAGGTGTTGGCTCGACGGCTGAGAATCAGCAACAGCGCTGGGCTGATAAACTTGCTGATACAAGCGCTGCTGATGCTGTTGCGCTTCAAACTCTCGTGCTTCCACCTGTATGTGTAGAGGCGGAGGTGGGGGCGGTGGAAGACTGAGGGGTTGCAGCTCGAGCCGATTGTGACTGTCTTGCTGCAGGGGAATAAACGTCTGCGTCGCGGTGAGCAGAGTGGCTGTTGTCTCCCTGCTCACTTCCACGACAGGAGGCTGCACGCTGGGCACAGATATCAAACGCTGGTGTCTTTGCTGTTGCTGCAGTAATTCACATTGCTGCTGTTGCTGCTGCTGCTGTTGCTGTTGTTCGTGTTGAAGCTGCTGTTGATACTGCTGTTCAGGCGTATCCCGATCTTGTTGAAGAGGTATCGTTTTGCTTTGCTCTGACTTCAGATTCCTCTCATCATCCTCTTCTCTCCCACGTTGCACCTCGCCTTCAGGCACTTGTAACCCGTGTGACTTGACATGATTCCTAAAGGTGGAGAGCCACGTAAACGACTTCCCACATACCTGACAGTGGTGTGGCTTCTCTCCCGTGTGTACGAGTCGATGGCGCCGCAATGACCACTTCACGGAAAAACACGCCCCGCAGATCTCACACGTATACGGCTTCTCCCCAGAGTGGGACTTTCGGTGGTTGGCGAGGTAGAACTTCCGCGAAAACTTCATACCACAATCCGGGCACTCGTGCTCCTTCACGGCCGAGTGGCGCCGTAAGTGAATGTTGAGATTAGTCCGTTGTGAAAAGCAACTACCACACAGCTCGCACACAAAAGACTTTTCTCCGGAATGCACAACAGAATGTGTTTTCAAGGACGCGCGGTCGGTGAAGCTCTTGTCACACCTGTCGCACTTAAAGCGACGGTCTCCTGTATGCAGCTTCTGATGACGGTACAATTCATAGATTCTGTAAAACGATGTGCCACACAGGTCACAGGTGTGACCTTTCTGTCTGTTCGGGTCATGACGTTTCATGTGAGCTTTGCAGTCAGCTTTACGGGAAAACGCCTGGGGGCAATGAGGGCATTGATACGGTTTCTGCCCTGTGTGACACTTCATGTGGTCTTCATAAGCGGAAGAACACGCCAGAGTTTTATCACAAATGGTGCAGTGGCAGGTGTGGATTTTCATGTGGTTCTTATAGGATCTTCGACCTACAAAGCTTCTTTTGCAAATAGCACAATGGTGGGTTTCAAGATGTCGAGCCATTGAGACTTTCTTTGGTTTGTATTCAATCCCTTTGTGTTTTGATGACATGTGTCTATGCAATTGGTGAGGATATGAAAACTTAGTTCCACAAATTTCACATTCACATCGATGGATTTTTATATGCTTCAGGTACTCCCCCTTTTTCCTGAAGGATTTCATACAGATGCTGCAAGAGAAGGAGGTTTTGAGGGAATTCCCTTTACCGATTTGTAAACCATCTGCTGGTTTTGTAAGTCTACTAGGTTCATCTTTCTCCTCCTCTACACCCACAGGAACACTTTGGGGGCCAAGGTTAGCTTCTAAAATCTCACAACCTTCAGGTTCAATATTTTCATCGCAGTTATTCACTGGGATCTCTTCTTCCTCATCATCCGGAGGACATACTGACGGACTGTCTTTCCCATCACAATCCACAGACAGAATGTCCTCCTCCTCCTCTGCTTCCTCAGTCACATCAACAGATACAGGCACTGGCACATTCGATCGCTCTCTGCTTTTACAACTCTTTTTTGACTTTTTGGAGGGCTTTGACTGTGAGACACCTTTCCTCTTTGGTTTAGAAGCCCCTTCATCAACTCTCTTACCTGAATCTTTTTTCCGGTCCACGAGTCTTTGAGCTCTTTTCGAAGTTCTTGAACGTGTTTTCACGAAAACTTCTTGTTTTTTAGTCTGTGCTCGCGTTTTCCTAACTTTCAGCGGTTTCGGAGCCGCTTTAGATTCTGTGACTTTTTCTTTGAGATTCTCGGGTGTCTCATGCTGAGAAAACCTATCGAGAATATCTCTCAACGGCAAAGGTGGAGAACTTTTGACATACTGCTGAAGGGCTGAAGAGAACATGCCTTTTCTGACAAACTGTTCCTTGATGTACACAGCTTTGTTTTCTTCTAGAAACTCACAGGACTCTGCAAGAACCTCGAGAGCTTTCAAATAATCTTCAGCCTCTTCATCTTTCCGCCGCAGTCTCCCGAAGAACACAAGTCGCTGGAATAAGACGAAAATGTAAGGCAAACACAGATCTTCCAACCTTTCCATTAGAGTCATCAACAAAGAAGTATCCCGTTCACTGACATTCAAAGACTGTACTATATCTCTGAATCCTCTCTTGCTAGCAAAGCTCAGTAAAACAGAAGTACAGAGTCTATCACCTCTGTCTGACATTTCACTCCCACTTTGACACATCTCACTCTTCATCTCTCTCCAGAGAGTCAAAACAAGACATTCTAAAGCTAAGCTCCCAGGGAGCTCTTGGCCTAAGACTTTGATACTTGACCCCATCCTGGCAAGTCTTCCTCACAATGGAGCCGATTCACTGAGTTAAGACATTCGCAAAAATCTACAGGGACAGAAGAAGGGAACACGCTTCCACAGTCCTGGATCCAGGCCCAACATCATTGGCTCGACACAACCTGGGAAAAAACCCAGAATAAAAATATCAAATCATCAGGGCTATTTGGTGTATTTTTCTTTCAATCAGGGTGGGAAGGATATAACTTCACAAACTTTCCTGAATCTCTCTACAAGACATGATGAGCACACTAGTAGTAAGTTCTTTTTCTTCATTTATCCACAAATATAAGGTATTTGAATAAAATTTTTGTGTAATATATATTTTTAAATTTAAATGGCATCTCTGCTTGATCGATACTAAAATGTTTATTCCATCATCAATGCAGAATTTATACTAAGTAGGAGGCTGGCTGCAGTAACACAGCCTGTCAGGGCCAACCCTGCTGTGTTGGACACTGCACCCTAGCAGAAAAACTAGAGATATATAAACTTTGACACGCAGGAATGTAACTCAAATCTTAAGTGAGAGCTACAGAGTGAAAAACTAAGCCATTATTATATTATTAATACCACATCCACATACACCGGTAATTTTTTGGATTTCGTTTAAAGTGAATTACAAGAAATTATTGGCCTAAATCCTACAAAAAGTAAAGATATTCATGGGTGGAGTGAAGGCTACATGACATATATTGTGAAGCTTCCCCTAACCTATGTACTACAGTCGACTCCACTTGTGATTGTGTTGAACTCCCTTGAGTTGATCTTTTTCTCGGGTTTCAGAACCTTTCTTTGTTTCTTTACAGGTCCCAAAGGTTAACTTTAACCTCAGATGAGTTTATCTCTCCCCCCCCCCCCCCCCCCCCCCCCCCCACTATTTAATGATTTTGTACTTACTGTAGCAATTCTATTCATTTTTGGACTTCGCTCTTTGAAAAGTTATGTTTACTTGGCAGGGAACACAATTGTCATGATGCATCCCCATCGCTTACTAGAATGCTTTACAATCTTTGCTTTTCAGTGGCAGCGATGGATACTCAGCTGCGCTCAGAGTGCCAGGGTCTTCTGGAGCAGCTGAAAGCTTCCCAGCGGCTGTTGACTGAACAGGTGTCTTCCCAAATGGGACGAGTGACTCTTGCTTCTAGTCAGAGATCTGGTGTCTCAACTACTTTTGATGACCGAGACCCCATTATTAGTTACAATCTAAGTAAAAATGCGAGCAAAAAGTCCTCAAAATGGAAATTTGGCAAAGATATCACAGCTGACGTTAATGTAGCTCAGGAGGCTGATACTGACCTCAAGCCATCCTTAGCCAGAGACAAGTTGTGTAGTCTGGCTAAGAGTCGAAATCGCCATGACAGCTTAGCCAGTGGGCTTAGTACTCAAGACAGCTTTAAACCAGGGAAGGAAAACTGTAATGTAGCAGACAGAACTTTAGGATATGACAGTCGTCCTTTATTATTATCATCATCAACCTCGTTGCTTGAGGGCAGAACCGCACTCTCAGACTTCTCAAAGAATGAGATGGCATCTGTGGAAGACAATAATGCCGTGACATCCTCTTCCTGGCAGCCAGCAACGCCCATCACTCAGAGAAGACGTCAGCTCATAGATCGTCACACTGCCGTACCCACCAAGCTCAATGCTAAGGAACTCAGAGATCTAGAGAAAGAAAGGTATTTGAATTTCAGCTACTCACACATTGAAGTTGATGATCATGTGACCCGCCTCAAGTCAACAGGGGACCTTTCTGAACCTGAAGAAACAGAGACTGGTGATAAAAAGACACAATCTTCATTTTCTACCGAACATTCGCCTGCTGCATCTCATCTAACAAGTCTCCCCGATCGTGGTCCCACCAAACCTGAAAAGCAGGAGAGCTTCAATTCGCAGCTTCTTGATGATGGGAACAATCGTAAGCTCAGCAAGTTTGTGAAGGAAGCTGCAGTGAAACCCAAGAGCATCCTCAACTCCAGCGCTTACTACAGCTTGAATTCAAGCAAGAGGGTAAGCAAAAATATCTTATAAAATTTACTGGAACCATCCTCAAAGTTTTTCCTTTTAACCTGAAATCATGTGAGTTAAAAAAACAAAGATGAAAAAAGAAAGTATGACACGTATAAAAACTGTATGATTCTCTTTTTAGACATCTGTATTCTTTCTTTTCAGAAATTCAAGAAGAGAGATTTTTACCATTAATTACTGAACTTTTACAATCATGTTACTTGAATAGGCCTACTGAAAATAACATCAACTGTGACGTATCTAAATGCACTCTCTTGTCTTGATTTTTGCTGCATGATGTAATGAATGATGATATGATGATATCTGTCTGTCTGAATTTGTATTAGATTTAAATGAATCTGACTCTAGAACCATACTCTAAAACCTTGGATGTCTAGTATTTTGTGACATTGTTCTGACTTTGCCGTTCACCGTTGTCTGTTCCCAGAACAACTCAAGGGTACGATTCAACTCGTCTCAGTCCAGTGACTCCCAGACTCCACTGCCGGACCATCGCCTTCTCGGCTATGACTGGATTGCTGCCCTGCTGGACAATGACTCAGCTTTGATCAATCAGTCTGAGAGTTTCTTTGATGAGTTGAGGGATTTTCGCAGAGCCAACAAAGACGAGTGCTCCAACCAGTTCTACATGAAGTAAGTGTGGATACGTCAATTTTTTTAATGTTTTGGGCTTTTTGGTTTTTATTTTGATTCCTTGTTGACTGACTTATGTTGCTGATTAGATAGCTTTGATTGTTAGCCGCTAGTGCCTGTGATGTAGTAGTTAGGCTCTTCGCAGTTCATGCTGAAGACATTAGTTTCAATCTTATGTTGGGATGTCATTTTATCAAGTATCTTGCCATGTCCCCTGGGATCACGGATGCTAGTTCAAAGACATTTAAAAACCTAAGCGGTAATGTGGGAATTTTCAAAAACCTGAAAGTCATCGTACAGAAAGATAAGATGGCAAAGACTACAAAAAACTAGTTTTAACATATGGGCCTTAAGAGGATAGGGGCTTTTTCAGGACTACTCTTCTGCTTCAAGACTTATCGTTTTGCATGTTGCGTAGTCGCCAGTTTTTAAACACGTACGTGCCGGCCCCAGTCTAAAAAACCTGCAGACCTAGGTCTGTTGAGGTTAAAAACCAGCGGGGCCGGCATATGCTGTATCCCGCCTTAAGCAGGTGGAAACAGCCTATGTCCTAATTGGTGTGAGTTGTATGAATGGAGACATGAAATATATTAATTGTGTAATAATTTGATTATTGGGCCATCCTCAAAATATGGAACATGTGTTTGTATTCTAAATGCTAGCTCCGACATTATAAAATCCATGCAAGAAGGGAAGATGACAGAAAGGGCAAGAGGGGAGATAAAGAGAAGTTGAGAAACCGTTTTGCTTGCAGGACTATGGAACCAGATATCTCACCCTCGTCTCATAGTTGTTTGCTGGTTTTTATGGATAAAGAGCTTCTTTTTTCCCACACAAACAAACAAATAAACAACTATGCATCGTGTACAATCCTCAGAGGCCCTCACACCCTGGTGGACACAGAACCTTCTGAGGTGGTTGAGGCTCTCACGGAACCAAGTATGTTTGGGTTTTTTTTGTGTGTGTGTTTTGTGTTTTTTATATGAGTCTCAAACGTTGTCTGTGAGTTGTTGGCGGGTGCTCTGGTGTAGTTTGTTTCTTCTTTCCTATCAAACATCTGTTGTCCTTATCTCCCCTCCTTCTTTCTTGTGTATGTTACTCTCTTGTAACACATAATCCATTCTTCGGCACTTATATGACCTTATTGTGTTGCAAGTGCGTAAAACGCTTACTAAGACTAAAACTAAAACATTGTCTAGTATATCTCAGAAGTGCCAATTTTCCCTGATAAATCTTGAAATCCGGATGTCTGAAAATGTCTGGATTTTTACTGACTTTTACGTGATGTCATACTGCACTTTGTTCGAAAATACTCGTGATGGAATTATATTTAGAGATGTATTGATCAATACAATCAGTAAATTTTGAGTATTCACACACATGCATTTCCACAAGGGTGCAGAAAATTTCTAAATTTTATTGTAGCGAGTTGGCATCTCTGCTGTTTGTGTTTTTGTTCTTGCTTTTCTCATTGTATGCAATATATCTGTAATGTGTTCTTAGATTGACTCTGTGTGTGGATGTATTGCGTTCTTTTAAATGAAAATGTTTGTGTGTATTAAGTCTCATAGACAAATATCTATTTATTCCTAGTGAACTCGTAATTACATGTACTTTTTTTGCTATTCACGGAGAAACCAAAATTTTCATTAGGCCTACTGTCTCTTATTACCAATTAAAAAAGAAAATTAAAAAAATATATTGTTAGTTTGTGGAAAAGATGATTTATTATGGTCATAGTTTTGATATGGATTTACTCTGCTGCCTTCATTCAGAATTGTAAGTTCGAGGTAGTTACATGAAGATTATTTTTTTCAGAGGTTCGTCCTTACATTGTCAATGACAGACTTTTCACGGAGCCGTTTAGACCCAACCTTATCCCTTACGAAGATGAGGATATACCTCAAAGGCAGAAAAGCAAAGAGCCAAGTAAAGATAACCCTAGATTTGTCAGGTAATGTATTTTTTAATAATTCTAGTCATCATCATTATTTGATATCATCTTATTTGGTCCTTAATTTCTAATTGAATGTGCTGTCAAATCTACTCTAATTGCAACCTGTTCAAGACAAACAAACTCTTCTCTCCCTCCCCCCTTTCCTGCTCCCTTGGTTTTGAAAAAATATTATAACGACATTGTTTTTAGATGTCTGCTAGTCTTACACAACTTTCCGCCTGAAGAGTGGGTGGCCGTCTTGGACAATTTCAACTATATTTGTGTCACGACGAGATGGAATCAGGGGATCGTCAGTTTTTGGGCAGGTTGAGTTATTTGTATCGCCTTGTAGCTTGTTTATTTGTCTTGCTTTTGACGAAAGAAATACCCATTTTTCTTTAATGCAGGTTGAGATATTTGCGATTGAAGGAGGTGGGGGTTGCCTTGTTTTAGAGGCAGTATTAGAGAGAAAATGGCTGCCAAAGTTTGGTTCTTTTCAAAGCCTGAGCGTCTGTGGAAACTGACAGTTTATGTTTTTTGTACCTTAAATCAATATTTTTCAGTAAAATCCTCACATAAATGGGTTCTTAAATGGACATAAAAGGTGTTGAGCCAAAAAAGCAAAATTTCTATAAAAATGACCTAACCAGCGAAAAAATGCCGCTTTCTTTACTTTTGTTTTAATCTAATGAGCGCCTGATTTCACCAAGCTGCCTCCCATATGTATTTGATGTTCCTTGAATATCATCCCAAGATTGGGGAAAAAAGAAAGATCACTATGAATAGGCCAGCCAAGGGAGTTATTATGAGTTTGTGTGGATTTTCTGATTTCAAGAGGAACAAACTGAACTATGTGATGGAAAAGATATATTTTAATTGAGGTTGCCGGTTCGGGGTTCAAGGCTCAGGCTTGATATTGTGTCCTTGGGAAAAGCACTTGACATGAATTTTCCTCACTTCAATCTGATATGAATGGGTATCCAGTTATAGACAAAGAAAGATCTTGTCTGTAAGTTAGTGTTTGAATGCCTGTAAAATGGTTTCTTTGCACTGTATGCTTCCCAGGAAATTGAACTTGCTTCAGAATTCTTTCAGGTCTGCTGGGGTAATATAGATTGGAACATTCATAGAGTTTGCTTTTGAGCTGAAATGATCACTGTACAAATGCTATTTATTATGTATCATTATTACAGTATTTTACCCACCACTTTAACACTTCATCATTTTCTCTCCCTATTATGTGTGTTTCAGGGTGAGCATTCCGCGGTCAACTCTTTCAACCCCATACCGTGTCAAACCACACAGACGACGCAGTTTCGATGCGGCTGACTCGTGTGCTCTTATGGATGTAAGCAAATCTCAGTAGATACCTCTCTTTCTCATGGCTTGATTTTTTTTTTACTGGTTTGGTTTTTTGGGTTTTAAAAAAAATTTTTTTGTGTTTAAACCTAGGGTGGATTGTTAGCGGGTGCTCTATTGTGGTTTGCTCCTTCTTTCCACTCTTTCCAGTCAACTCCGCTTGTATCTAAGTCATTTGAGTTGATCTTCGTTTAAATTGATCTCTTTCTCGAGACCCAGAACCTCTTCGTCTCTACAGGTCCCAACAGTTAAGTTTATCTTTTTTCCACCCCTTCCCACACAACACCAATTCATCTCTCCTTTCATTTTAACGCCTCTCTCTAGCAGTACCTCTTATTTTTTTAACTTCAGATATTGTGTTGAATTTTGTCGTATATTGTACAGAACACACATTTTCTGTGGGTGGTTGGCGGGTGCTCTGGTGTGGTTTGCTTCTTCTTTCCTATCAAACATGTGTCGTTCTTATCTCCCCTCCTTCTTTCTTGTGTTTGTTACTCTCTGGTAACATCTCTGATCTTCGGCACTTATATGACCTTATTGTGTTGCAAGTGCCGTAAAACTTACTAAATCTAACACTTTTTTTATCAGCACTTATATGACCTAATTGTGTTGATGCAAATGCTTTAAACCTCTTACTTACCAAATAAACATGTTTTCTCGACCTCCGCAGCACTGCCTGCTGGGCTGGGAGAATACTCGGCCAGAGATGTTGCCGGCCGCCAAGTCCCTGGACCTGAACACAGAGGCGGGAACTCGACAGGACTCAGTCGTCACGGTAAAGATCTACTTGTATTTTTGTTATTGCGCTCTCATTACTGTCAAAGTCTGTTTAAATAATCTTTTGTGAGTTTTTGTTTTTGTTTGTCTCTACTAACAACACTTCTCCCCCCCCTTTCCAACCAATATATTGATAGCTGAGTGCAAAATATTGGCAAACCCTAAATTGCAAAAGTAATTGAGTAGAGAGACCAGGAGGGAGGGACAAACAGAATAGAGAGACAAAGAGGATGGAATGAGAAAGAGTAGAGAGGCAGGGAAGGAATGAGAGAGTAGAGAGACAAGGAGGGAGGGAAAGAGGAGATCATACAAACTGTCCCCGGGGTTTTATGTACCCTGCATAATTTAGCAAAATTTGATCATTTTTTGCATAATTTCTGATTATTTTCCTTTATCATTCTTGGTTAAATTTAACAGAATCGCATAATTTCACATTTTTGGGCTCAGTTTGCATAATTTCAGAATTTTTCTTGCATAAAACGATGGGGACAGTACAAAGAGGGAGGGAGAGAAAGAGTGGAGAGACAAGGAGGGAGGGTGAGAGAAAATGTAGAGACAAGGAGGAAGGGAGAACAAAATTAAAGAGAGAAGAAAGAAACAAGGAGGGAGGGAGAGAGAAATTAAAGAGAAGAGGAAGAGAGAGAACAAGCCATGGCAACCTATCACCATATCTTTTTTTTTATCTTCACAGAGTCTTGCGGAGGCAGAGCGCCTGGCAACTGGTCCTCGCCACGCCGGCTGGCCCTTGGTCCGGTCCCATGGGCGGCTTCAGACTCTGCCTACCTGGCGCAAACACTACCTGGACACCACGCTCAACATGACGCAGCCCCCAGCGGCAGCCAACAGCTCACGCGCCAGCTCACATTCCGCGGGGGTCACTGGTGCAAAACGAGTCACGGATCGCTTACTGCAGTCCACCTACTCCAACATGTACGAGATGGAGAGACTGAAGCAGGAGAGGGAGCTGGAGAGGAAGAGGGAGGAGGAAGAGAGGGGCAAAGGGAAGAATTGATGGGATGTATGTCGCATAATTGATGCGGTGTGTTATGTACTGCCCTTCAACTGGCGAGGTCATGGTCTGTGTCTGTTGCCATCCCCCTCTCCTCCCCTTCCGTCTCCTTTTCTCTCTCTCTCTTGGCATTTTTCCCCCATTTTGAATTGAAAGTTACAGTATGGAATGTCTTATGTCTTTGCTGTTGAATTTACAACCCAAAATGAGGTCAGACATATTGTGCCTTTATCATATCCATTTTATCTTTCGTCTGTGTGTGAGTGTGGGTGTGAATGGTAAAAGTGGCTGGGAATCGTTGAAGATGAGGAATGCAGAAATAAAATTTCATATGTGCTCTGTGATAAATCAAAAGGACAGACTGATTGTAAGTTGTAGACGAATGGTTGCAGTTCAGTTGTTTTTTTAATAAGCTTTCTTGCCCAAGCTCATACCTTTGTCATTTTTTAAATTCCCTTATGTCCATTTTATCCTTTTAGTGCAAGTACTTAATTTATTCAAACTCTTGTATACTACTGTAGTTCGGTGTATGTGTAACAGCAAATAAACTTAGCAATGGTATGGATGATATTGTTAATGTGATTTCTTACTTTGACTTTTATGTGAGGAGTTGTTTTTTTCTAATTATTATAATTATATTTACTGTGGCTTCGCAGGGAAACCCACAAGACTATTCCAAGTGCATTTTAGTGAAGTCGGTAGTCTAGTGATTAGGCTACCGGACTCAGACAATGTGGGTTCAAGGCTTAGCTCGGCCCGATGTTGTGTCCATGGGAAAGGCACTTTTCATGAACTTCCCTCATTTCACCTTAGCGTGGGAGGGTACCCAGTCATCAGGGAAAGATTTGTCAGTATGTCCAAGTCCAGGTTTTTTGTGCCTCTGTGAAATGGAGGCTTGCACTCTAGGCTCCATGCCTGGGAGGCCAAGAATGCTTCTAGAGTCTTCTTGGGCAACAATGGTTGTGTGGCTCCTAGAACATGGATGCGATATACATATATATATATATATATATAAATTAAACGTAGTAACAGTCAACTTCGCTTGAGTTGATCTTCGGTTAAAGGGCTCAGGAGTCAAATTCCACACCAGGAGACCCAATTTTCTTGTAAAATATCGAAAATGAGTTTGAGACATTTTCTGACAGTTGGATCAATCTAGTTTACAAACATGTATCTATTATAATGTTGAAAAACACTCAGAAAAGAGCGCTAAGTGAGTCCTCGCACTGCATAATTTATTTTTCACCCCTCTCATGACATCAACAGATCCTTCGTCAGCTGCGTTACTTACTACTCTGTGAAAAGTACTTGTGTCTGGGGCGAAATACATAGTAGTCTATGTCGGAGAAAAGAACATTCCAGAGCGAGAAAATGAAACGTAGAGAGTAACATGGTGAAAACAACTACAAATGCAGAAGCACACGAGTATGACTTTATAACATTTTATTCAGAATATTTTTTAATGTTTCATTTCTATAATGGCAAAAATATAAAAAATGTTATACTCATTCTTGAATTATACAGTGAACTTTGGTAAAAATAACTATCAACAAACTATCATTACTATCAATGAAGAAAAAGTTTGATATATATATCATGATACTGTGGCCTAGTCAAGATGCACAATCTTCACTACACATGTGCAAACTGGCAGTGTTGCCCTGCCGAAGAAAGCTGGCGGTGCTCTTTTTGTCACGAGAGACCATTCAGCTGACACCGTGCCCGAGGGGTTTTTGGTGCCTGCGTCAAACACAAGAGCACAGCCAGTCAGTCTTGAAGCCAGCAGTTGCCAGTTTGGACACGTGTATACTCACCAGTTACACACTTCACTAGCACCCAGTACTGATAACGAGCATTAAATTAAGGCTTTGATAAAAACTGAATGAAATGTAAGAACCCATACAGTACAAATGAAATTGAAAGAATGATACAGTTATACAGTCCACATCAATCGCACAGGAATGTATCACGAGTCATGTATTCACCTAGATCTATCACTACAAACTGACAAACAATCTTGACCACGGAATCAAAACTTTGAGAAGAGATGACAACGTCAAAATGCGAAAAAAAAAAAAAGTTTCGCTACAAGATCTTCTAATCAGACATATGTATATGGTATATCAAAAGTTGCCCGAAATATTTTGATGAAAGCATGTAGAAATACCTGAGCCAGTCAAAAAAAAAAAAAAAAGAAGGAAAACCAGGAAAAATGTCCTGACTCTCGAATTGTAAATTTCTGCTCTCCACCATATCCCTGAACTATATAAATAAAAGAGAATTTCCAGGCCCAAATCATAAAGACGATGAAATCATTAAGTATTCTGTCTGGCTAAAACTTAAACATTACATTGCGCAAGTCACAATTCGGATACATTTGATTTTCCCAATGTCATTCTTTAGTTCCAGAACAACAAATAAATATATTGAAATCAGGAGAAGACTACAACACTTCATCATCCCCCACCACATGAGCAATAAGGCACTCGCAGAAAACCTGAACCAAAATGAAAAGACAGTAATACAGTACAGAAGACTACCAAAGTATTGCCCGTTTTGAACTTGAAAATTTGATTTCCTCTAAACTAAACCTGATTTATGCGACTCTTAACATTCTACCATCCTGCTTTTCAAATGCTTCTCATCCTGGCATAACAACATCAACAACACGTGCAATATTGGCAAAAACACTCCTCACCCTGCAGAGATAGCACCAGTTTCTCTGTGTAGTGTCATTGACTCAGAATGCTATTTACAAACACTGTGTACATGTGGTTAGTAGAAAAACCAATTACAGGCTTGCCAACTTTTGAGCTACTGAATTCTGGAATTTTGAATGCTTCAGAGCGCCACGGACACACACTCCTGTGATAGGCCACAAAAACCGCTCAAACAAACCAGTGGAGAAACGGAGAGAGAGATGAGAATGTAACAGCACAGTTACTACACATACCCCTTTGTCCATGCCTTCGAGTTTTGGTTTTTCTAAGAAAAAAATAATACTTTTGGAGAGGGGGGGGCACATCGTGCTGGTGTCTCGGGAAAGGTTCGGGAATGACAATTGCAATTCTGGAATTTCCTGAAAAATTCAGGAAGGTTGGCAAGCCTGCAATTTTTTTTGTTTTTTCATAGTGAAGAGAATACAAAATACGCCTACTGACCGTTTAGAAAAAAACAACCTCCTCTCTCTTATCACATAACTAAAACAAGTGCAGGTGTTTGCACACTGTAGTAGAAAAATAACAAAACAATCTGTGCCATTACGTTTTCAACAAAGGTTTCGTACCATCCTAAAATGAATGTCCAGCACGTAACTCCATTAAAAGTTACAAGATATATTTCATGTTTCAGTTGTACCCTGAAGGACACAGAAACAAAAGCCTTATAAACTGTTTCTAATCAATAACTACACCTTCAACTGCCAGACCCATCCTCCCACCTGAATATTTCACAACTTAACTCTACCGTACGACTATGTGCAGTATTTTTTTTTCTTCCTCACATTTTATAAAGCTTAACAAACAGCCAACTGAACTGTTTTGATCACTACGACTGTGACTTTTTGGGCAGGGCACAAGCTCCGTTGTCGCAGTCCACTGCAGGAGCTGCCTCCACCTCCACGCTGCCTTCTATGCCCAGAGCTTTCAACACATCGTTCGGGTCCACGTGCTCCCCGGGATTCTCTTGCTTGTACGTCAGGAGAGCTTTTCCGCCTGGAAAGAAAATTTACACCTCGTGAAAGTCTCTGCTAACGCACGTCTGTATTGAGACAATGATGGTTGTTGAAGCGTGAAGCCCATACTGAAGACACAAGGGAATAAAAGAAGGAGGAGTTGGCGCAGGGGGGGAGAAAGTTTCGTGTGTGTGTGTGTGTGCGCACTGAACTATCTCTTCCAGTCACATGGATAAAGCCTAAAGGCCCGGTTTCACGGAACGATAAATTGTACAAAAACTGGACGATCTAGCGATCATACGATAAATCGTTAGGTGTAACCACAAAATTGTACCAAATTTGGACAATTGAACGATGGTTTGGAGACTCGATCTAGAAATCAAGCCCTGCTTGATATTTTCTGTGCGATCACAGTCAAACTTGAGGGAGACGCGCTGTGACGTAGATTCACTTTGAAATTTGCCGCTGCGCAAAATTAAACTCAGAACTCAAATTTTAAAAAATAATTACCGTACGTAAAAACTGATTTCATATTCGTAATCAGCGTCTCATAATATGCAAAGTTGCTCGCGGTGAACCTGATTTGGTTGGTTATTATTTATATTTTAGCAATTTTATTATTCAGTTGATTGTCAATTGTGAAACTGCATTAAGGTCACTCTGTGCATTGCACATCTGCAGTCAGGTCAAAGCTTCCGGTTCTACACACACACAGTAGGCCTACAGTACGGCCACCCTTTTCTAAAGACACTGTTCTGCTATATCAAAATGTACAGGGGGGGGGGCTTCTGTGATCTAGAGGTAGTGTTCGCCTTTCATTCATTAGGTCCAAAGCTCGAAACCTTCACATAGAGAGCAGGCAATTCGCGTTCGTTGCAGAGACATGGTGGCTTTATGACGAGGAATCTCCTCAATCGATAGAAAACTGGATGATAGATTGGAACGTGTAAACAGACAACAGTTCGATCAAACAGACAGTTCTCTCATACGACGAATCTGATACTATTTATCCTAGCATGTAACCCGGGCTTAACACAATGGATGAGAAAGCCTGAGTGGTGAATATTATCTGGCCTATTCACAGAGGCACTCGACAACACAAAGAACATTTGTGAGAACACAGAGGCAGAGAGAATGGTACACGATACATGTAGGAGAAATGAGGACAAGAGCAGGGCATCCAGATTAGGAGTAAGATACCCAGCTAAGGCAAGTGGCCTCTTTGTCTGGGCATCCATTATGACCCATTTCAAAACAGCCTTTCCACCCACATTTGACAGGCTTCCCCCTTGTCCTTCTAATTATCTTCTCAACAACAGGTTCGGGGGG